TAATAAAGATTCCTCATTAGAAAATATTTTCTTTTGCATTTTGTTTGTTAAGTTTTTTTTTTTAAATATTTCTTTTGATTAAAGTTATTTTCATCCTATCATCAAAAGAATGAAGATTTGACCACCTGTATGTCTTTTTTTTCCTTTTATGCATTTGAATGTTTTTATTAATATATTCACATTTGAAGGTGTTTGTTACTCTTTTATCGATGAAAAAGTTGTGAATGTTTTACCCGAGAACAAAAGGATTTTTTTAATGAGAAATGGACATTTTTGCATGTTTGTTATTACATGTATGATATCACTTATCTTTGTTGATCAAGTTACGCTCATTTATAATTTTTTAAGTGTTTCACATAAATAGCATCGACAAAATGTAATAACACAATTATAACTTTTTTGTTATATAAATAAACTCAGTATATCCTTGTTTACCCAAAATGTGCTTGGGAAGTCATAATATTACTTGGGTGAAAAATATTTCATAAAAAGTTCAACTTACCGACACCTTCGATGGTATTTTCCAGCGATATCATTATTTGTGTTAAAACAAAGCCATCACACATTTTTCCCAGGCATGATTCAGGTTTCCACAAAAGATCTAAAATTAATTCTTATTAATCGTCTGCGCTGGACTCTTTTATACACATAATAAATTATACCTCTAAGCACGGGTATAAAACAGAGTAAATTTCAAAAGTATATTTTTGTAAGCATTTTGAATACGCTGTATTTCAGTCAAAGATAATTAAGTGACGTGTTTTTAAATAATCGGACAAATATTATTTAAAAATACAATTAAGACACGTGAAATTTGCGATAGCGCACTGACATTTTACATGCAGTTTGAAATAAGGGGAGAATTTATGACACTTTTCCCGGCATAATAGTTCAATCTTTCAGTAAATCGACGTCATTTTCCATTATGACGCCAAAATAGTATTTATAAGTCTTGGGAAGACTTCAAAAACTTATATATATCCAACATTAAATTTTGTCCACATTATGTCGTCTTCAGAATCATCCAAATATGTCATTAGAAGGTAAAAATTACCCTTTTTTAGCTTTCAAGATTTTATCGGAAATACGGTTGAATGGTTCACTTTGATATCGGAAATTTCGGTTTTTGTTATCGGAAACAAAGGTTGTCCTAGGTTAGAACAAGAGGCCAATGGGCCACATCGCTCACCTGAGCATTGTGGGCAGGAAAAAAGCAAAAATTAATTCAGTATTGAAAAGCTTTAATGCATAAGTCGTCCCGACCTAAAAGGGGGGGGGGGGGGGGTCATGATTTAAACAAAATTGAATCTACACTAACTAAAGATGTACATAAATAATTACATATTTCTTTCTTTAACAGTGACTTTTTCCCTACAAGTTTGAACTTTCATTAAGGTCTCATCCTACCCCTGGGGGTCATGGTTTGAACAAATCTGAATCTACACTTTCTGAGGATGCCTCCATGTAAATATGACTAATCATATCTTTGCTGTTCTTGAGAAGATTTTTAAAAAAATTCCTATGTATTCCTTTGCATAACTTTAATTATCAAATGTGGCCCCAACAGAAGGTCATGATTTTTTATCAAACATGAATCTACACTAAATTAGGATACTTCCAAATAGTTAATAACAAATCATGTCTTTGCTGTTCTTGAGAAGATGTTTTCTATATATTCCTGTGTAAAAATTTGATTGTCAATTGTGACCCCATCTTACTCTCGGGGGTCATGATTTGAACAAACGTGAATATAAGAAGAAACTTCCATATGAATATGACCAATCATGGCTCTGTTGTTCTTGAGAAGATTTTTAAAGATTTTTTCTATATATACATATGTAAAACTTTGATCGTCCATTGTGGCCCCATCTTACCCCGGGGTCATGATTTGAACAATCTGGAATCTACACTACCTGAGGATGATTCCACATGAGTTTCACCTTTTTGGTCCAGTGTTTCTTGAGAAGAAGATTTTTAAAAGATGCCATTAATTTTTCACTATTTTGAAATTATCTACCCTTGGAAGAGGGCGTGGCCCTTCATTTGAACAAACTTGAATTCCCTTTACCTAAGGATACTCTGTGCCAAGTTTGATTGAAATTGGCCAAGTAGGTCTGGAGAAAAAGATAAAATTGTGAAAAGTTTACAACGACAACAACGACAACGGCGACAGACAACGGACAAATTTCGACCAGAAAAGCTCACTTTAGCCTTCGGCTCAGGTGAGCTAAAATGTAAAGAAAACAACGGAAATTTTCATATACTCTTAATATTTAAGGTGGCAGGCACAGGATTATAATTTTTGGTTATTTTTTAGCTCACCTGCGCCGTAGGTTCAAGTGAGCTTTTCTGATCGAAGAGTGTCCGGCGTCTGTTTTTCGTCTGTAGACTAATCACATTTTCGACTTCTTCTTAAGAACCACTGGGCAAATTTCAACCAAATTTGCCACAAAGCATTCTTGGGTAAAGGGGATTAAAGTTTGTTCCCAAAAAGTGCCGCGCCCTCTTTCAAGAAGAGATAATTAAGAATTAGCACAGAACAGCAGTGAAGGAGAACTTTCAGGAGTGCTGTACATAAATATATTCGAGAAGTGGTGTTAATCAAATATGGATACTTAAAAATTTCAAGGAATTTTTGGACAATTTGAAAGAATTTTTTTTACCAAAATCAGTAACATAAAAACTTACGACTTCTCTACTGTATATACAACCATTTCCCAGGACAAATTAAAGTCCAGGCATCATTGACAGATTTTTTTTTTTCAATAAAAATGGAACTTTTAAATTTACATACCTTTTTATTGGTCCTTTTCAACATTATTTTGTTTAAAAAATAAAAATAAAATACCCCCCCCCCCCCAAAAAAAAAATGATTGTACACAAAAGTGCTTTGAAGTTGATATTAAAAAGATGCTTGAGTTTCTCATTGACAATATCTATGTGGTTTTTGGAGACCAGGTCTCCCAACAATCCGTTGGAAATTTAATGGGTACTAATTGCACTCCGTTATTTGCACTTATTTTTGTATTCATATGAAGCAGAATTTGTTCAAAATCTTATCCATGAGAAGAAGAAAACAATTGCTATGGCCTTCACCTAAACATTTAGATATATCGACGAAGTAATATCAATAAACAATAGTTATTTCCATTCATATGTCGACACAATATATCCCAGTGACCTTGAGATAAAACATACCATAGAGTTTGACATATCTGTTTCATATTTGGTTATCTTACTAGAAAAAAAAAGTTTATGGTAACCTAACAACAAAGCTTTAGGAAAAACGTCATGACTTTAACTTTTCAATAGTCAACTTCCCTTACTTGTGCAGCAATATACCCTCATCACCTTCATACGGGGTTTATATCTCTCAGTTGATCTATATGAAAGAGCATGCTCTACGTACAAACAATTTCTAAAACGAGGTACATAAGTTATTGACAAACAAGTTGATGAAAAAAGAATATCAACAGTCTCATTTAAAGTCATCATTTCGTAAGTTCTATGGTCGATACAAAGACCTTGTCAGCATATACAATCTATCATTAAGTCAAATGCTGACTAACGTTTTTCATACTAATTTTTTGGCCATTATTTACACTGAATTGTCGACGGATTTTTCCGTTAGTTCCCGATCAAGACAAGGAGCACACGGTGGGTTTGACCGGTCGGCAGGGGATGCTCACTCCTCCATGGCACCTGATCCCACCTCTGATGATTTAGAGGTCCGTGTTTGCTCTGCTCCCGATTTGTATTGTTTGAATGAGCGTTTGTGCTTGAATACTGTTCGCAATCTCCATATATTTCACTTTGGAACACTATTTGAGAAGACAGACGAAAAACCTTTAGACATATATGGTTTTTAAAATCATTACTATTGGATACATATATATATATATAAGTTGTTTGTATATTTTAATGTTAAATCATATCATAACAATCAAGATACTCCAAATTTACAAGCGTAATCTTCAAGAGGAATTAGAGAATTGATTAAAAAAATACCACACCCCCTAATCTTTCCCCAAAGAAATACAAACCGTTTACGTTAAGTGTATTTTTTTTAACGTTGGAAATTGCTCCAAGATTTAACAAAGGGTAACGCTTAAATTCAAACTATTCGAATTGTTTTTAAGGTATTAATGTTAATACATATATATAAAACACATTTTATGCACTCAGAATGTAATAGAGATTCGTTAATTTTTCAAAGATAAATGAACTCAGCCTACAGAATCCATATAACAAGTACCACACTGAAAATGTCTTGATATCAATTTAGCCAATAATATTTCTGACAACTATAGTTAAAACCAATATACTACGAACATGGATTTTGTTTTAAATATTTGATCAAAAATGGACGCAACCTTAAATCTATACATCTTTCTTTAAATTCTAATAACTGCTTTGTAACGAAAATGTTTTTGCACAGGAGTGAAGATCAAGGGATAACGATCATTAATTTTTAAATTCAGCAAAGTCAGGAGATAACTGTCATTTCTTTCCATGGATCAATTAATTTTAGAGAGCAAGAATTAAACATATATTGCAAAAGGGGGGGGGGGGGGCAAAAATATTATTTTCATGGGTAAGGAAAATATAAAGCACTTTATATCACTTGGTAAATAAAAAAATACAAATTTCCTGTTCTACAAATATTTAATAAACTTAAACACACAAAAGACGCACAAACTCTCTCTCTCTCTCTCTATCATCTAATCTATCTATCTATCTATCTATCTATCTATCTATCTATCTATCTATCTATCTATATACCAAAGTTATTATTTACGTTAAAAAAATCGTGAAAAAAATCGAAATACGAGTAAATTATTCATTAAAACAAAAGAGGGGGAAACGTTAAATGACTAACAATTAATAGATTTGGATATCTTGTGTAAAAACCCTTGCAGAAAAATATCACAGCTGCACTATGTATGAGTAAAATTTAAAAAATTAAATAAATCTAAAAGATTAAATATGCCCATTATAAAGTAGCTGAAGTCAGATCTTGAGTATCAAATTTAACCATTCACACAGCTTTAGAGCTACACGTTTCGTTTTCCACAAATATGTTGATACATGTATATGATGTCCCCAACTCATTCTTTTTTTCCACAGACGGCTTAGTTTCTAAAAGAAAAGAAAGCGCATATTTAAAGACCACTGTACGATTTGGAAAGTTTTTATCAAAATACGCCCTTATTTCCTATCATCAGCCAGTAAAATCAGGTTATCCTATAATAATATGTATTTTCTTTTTTGTAATTGAAGACTGAAGCTTACTTATTTTCTTTTGTAAAACAAGAAACTTGTGGGTTTTTAATACAATTTTCAAAATATCAGGAGGACGGGGTATTAAAAGTAACTCGAGCTATAAGTAAGGCATCATTGAATGAAATAGACTCGAACTTTATCATGTATATACATGTATATAAGCTTACGGACACATGGTAGTTTTATTTTATTCGATCCAAAGACTCAAACGTGAAGTCACAAGGCGATCGCAAAATGAAATTGTTTCTTGGTCATAACTATATATTTACATCCACTGAATATTTTATCCTTTATTTTTAAAGAAAACCATTGCCGTTTATCAGTTAATGAACAACACTAGGCATATCACCTGTACAGATTTCTTGATCAGTGGCTGTTCCATCAATGAAACGTACAATGACGTACATATCAATAATACAATAGTTAACCTATTTAATCCTACTTTAAATGATTATTTATACAGATATAAATATAAACAATAAAATATCTTTCTTTCGTTGTAAGTACGGGAATTAACGTCGCAGCTATTGCAGAAAAAAATTACATAACCCGCGTAAGCGGGTTATGTAATTTTTTTCTGCAAGGGCTGCGACATTAATTCCCGTAATAATAAAAAAAAAAAAAGAAAGAAAGCATTCTATTCTTTAAGTAAACCTTAATTTGATCAATAAGTTGTGCGTCAAAATCTTGACTTATGTGGCGATGAGCGGGTGAAACTACAATATATTTATAGAATTATTTAGTCTAGTAAATGTTACGTGTAACATTAGTTCTTTTGGTAAACAAATCTATGTTTTATACAGATTTTAATACATGTTGATGGTTAGGGTATATATTTCGGGAAGATTACCAATTGTGTCAAAAAAAAATGTAAGGATATAAACAAAAATTTTATTAATCGATAGATAATTTATTGGTTATAAAAACGACATTTCAATAAAACTGAACAAAAGAATAGCCTTATAAGAATAAAGCTATTCAGGTAAACAAAGAGTACTTCCATTATACGAATAGCAAAGTGAATATCAGTAATACAATATTTATATGAATAAATTTTAGATTTTTTCATTTTGAAGACAACTTAAAAATATGAGCACAAAATGAATCAGATTTTCTTTTTTAACAGATGTTAGGGTATCTGAATGATTTCAAAATACATACCAGTAGTGTTGATACTATTCAAGGACTTTTTCTCATGTCCATCATTGATATTTTTCATATACGTGTCGATAGTAGCTTTACCTAAAAGCGGCTTTACTGAAATTGGAATATACATATTGATTTACCATTTGATGCATTTCACAACAATTCTGCAGAGTTAAAAAAGTCACAAAAGAGTTTCATATTTTAATCAAGCGAAGAAAATTACCTTTATGATCTTATTAATGTAAAGAAACAGTACTCACATTTAGCATTATTTTTGTTTCCCTTTCCATTTTCATAAATGTCATCTTTGTGAAATGTATCCAGGAGACAAACTTTTAAAACAGAAATGAAAAGAACCTTTATGCTTTTAGTCATTTTACTTCAAAAAAAAAAAAAAAAATTAAAAATAAATAAATAAATAAATAAAAAAAGATAAAATAAAAAAATAGCCGAAAGCTGTCATTTTGCAATTTTTTTTTTTCCACCACATTCATCATAACATATTTTCAATTTACATGTATCGGGATTTCTTTGAGCTTAGAAATCTACAACAAATACTAAACTTAAGCATTCACTAAGAATGTGCTCTCATTCTGATTTTTTTTTTCAGAATGAGGGCACATTCTTAGTGAATGCTTAAGAATTAACTGCACTGAATGATTCTTTGTCAGGTTATGATAAAATATGTCCAGTGCACGATATTAGAGAAAACGTTGAAAATATGTTATGATAACAGGTGAAATACTAGTAAGTATAGACAAACTTCCACCGGGAGAAAAAAAAAAAAACACTTGAGTTTTTGACTTGAGCTCAAATACGTACAGATTCAGAAGCCTCTTGTGACTAACATTTACGTAATATAAACTTATTTACGCAAAATCTTCTAAAGCTTTTTTTTTTTTTTTTTCTTTGGTAAAGGATGAAATCAGAATTTCAAAAGAATTGACCTATTGGACAGAACAATTTCGCGGAAAAGTCGCACTTAAAAATCAATGTCCATTGATTATTTTCTATCGTATATATTGGTCTATAATTGTCAATTTTTCATTTGGAACCTAAAATCTATTATTTGCAACTACAGTCCCTGAAACGTTCTACTTTCCCACTTGAACGGTGAGCGAACGCTGAACGAACGGTGAACGAACGCTGAACGAACGCAGAGCGAACGGTGAGTGAACGATGTGTGAACGCTGAACGCAACTTGGTGAACGATGTGTGAACGGTGAACGGTGAGCGAACGCAGAACGCGAACGGAGCGCAAACGCGAACGCAAAGTGAACGGTGAACGAACGGTGAACGCAAGATGAACGATATATTCGGAATGCCTCTGATCTTTTCCTTGCATTGAAACTATTTTATTGTATTATAATGTCAGGTGCCAAAAAAAAAAAAAAACAACAACAACAACAACAAAAAAAAAAAACAACAAAAAAAAAAAAAAAAAAAAAAAAAAAAAAAAAAAAAAAAAAAAAAAAAAATAATAAATAAGTAAACAAATACTGAGTAAATGAATGAATATATAAGTCAATAAAATAAATTCTCCAAAATTTTCCTAAGAAAGACGATGCATGCACATTAAGTTTTAAATCACACGATTTTTATCGCATTAAAACATTGCAATTGTTGCCGAACGCTGAAGTATAAGAGATATTATTTTTAGTTGGAAAATAAAAATGTTTATTCTTAGTTGATAACAAATCAGAGAAAACTTATGATTTATAGAATGAATTAAAGCGGTTGTAACTTATACTCATATATATATCTCCGTGTCAATGCGATTTCGTGTAATGAAAAAAAAATAATTACATTTATACGCTCGTATTTTAGATTTTTAATACAATAATATATTATGTGTCATTTCTATTTTTCATCATGATTTATTGAGCAGACGTCTACATGTATCTCTAAATGGCCGTGATTATACTCGGACAAGATGATACAAAGATACATATTCATATTATTTGTTATAAATTCAATTTTCAGAACTTGATAATTAAGTAATATGGTGTTATAGTTTTTATTAAACAAACAAATGAGAGAGAGAGAGAGAGGGGGGGGGAGAGAGAGAATAATATTCGGTTTTAGCCCCCCCCCCCTCCTCTCAGGCTTCACCAAATGTTTCTACCTATATCAAACAAAAACTCTGAAATTTTTTTCGAAATATATCAGACAGTGAAAGTAACTTTTTTATCAACAAATCATATCCATTTGTTTGACAGTTATTTCCTGCTTCAAGTTCACACGAAGTCCAAGTGCTTGTCCTGTCAATCAAAATCATTCGACACTGTGCAGGTGTGAAAGTTTCATCACATCAAGACGAAGTGCGAGTATTTCCAACAAGTTATAACATTTATTTTTATCATTTCTAGATTTGATTCCAACATTTGAATAATAAATTAGTAAAATACATTGGGCATTAACACTTGAATGTGAAACATACTCTCTGCCAATTTCAAATACCACCGCCGACACGTGTACATTTTGATCTACTATTGTTTTGTGACTTTTTTAGATGCATGTTTGTTTTGAGACTGAAATTTTTGTTCTAAAAAAGACCGTAGTGTTTTTTTTTAAATGTTAATTAAAATATTATGGAAATACGGTACTGACGAAGTCACCGATTTAGGGGGAAAGGGGGGGGGGGGGTATTAATCATACCGAATGGCAAACATATAAAGTAACGGTGAAGAAAGATTTTTTTTTTCTCTATAACTATAGACTTTACATATTACAGTAGAGAAATTCTGTAGTGCATTACATTTTAAATAAATATTTCCTTTAACCACACTATCAATTTAATTCTTTCTAAAGATAATAAATTAACAGGATATCCGCAGTACTATGTATAACTTTCAGAACTAGTTCTATTATATTTTGTAACAACATTTATTTTCCAGAGTAATTTAATAAATAACCTAACAGCTAAGTTAGAATAATAAAAATATATATCGTAGATATTTTTCCTCATGAAATAATGATTCTTCAAAAACGATATGTTAATAAATTAAAAAAAACCTGTAACTCCTTAACTACAAAAAGTCCTTTCACTTCGGAGTTCCGAATGACAATGAAAACTGAACGATAGGTGAACGCTGAACGCAAGTTGAACGCAAAGTGAACGGAACGAAGAGCGAACGCTGAACGCTTTGTGAACGGTGAACGCGAGCGCACGGTGAACGGTGAACGCAAAACTGTGAACGGAGAGCGAACGGTGAACGCACGGTGAACGAACGGTGAACGCACGCTGAACGAACGGAGAACGAACAGTGAGCGAACGGAAAAATGGGAAAGTAGAACGTTTCAGGGACTGTATAAAATCAACCTCCAAGGTGGCTTAAAAGCATTTTCTCCGTTTAAGCACTTAGAAGTCCTTCAGGGCAGTCCTGCCCCTAAATGAAATTATGATATTTTGAAAAGCTGTGATCTAAGCTACATGTAGTTCTAAATGGTAATTAAACACTGTATGAAGTTTTTAGCCAGATATTAAGGTTTCCATGAAAAAAAAACATTTTTAGTCTCATGAAATATATTAAATGACCATTTGCAATGAAAAAAAAAAGATTCTGCTCACGAAAATACATCAATTCACATACATAGTAAAAATGAAAGGTATTACATGAGAGTCACAAAATGTTTACTATTTTAATTTTTTATGTACTTACTTTTCAAATATTGCAGTTTAAAAAATAAAACAACAGCAGCCATCACAAGTATAAAAACTAGAACGACTATTAAAGGAATCAAGTGATCTTCAACTGGCTCCTCGCTAAGATCTCTGTCGTCCTTTATTTGTATAAATGGTTTATCACCCTCCAAGCTATATGAAAAAGACATGAAAATTTTTCATTTGTACATATGAAATTTCAAAGAATTTTCGTTTGTTTACATCAAATAAAATATATCTGAAGAAGTAATTACAAAAGGGATTCCATGGGAAAAAGAGGTCCCTCAGACCTTTCTAAATTCACTAAGATGTTAGTGCTATTGCGATTGGGTACATTTTCATATAATTATGTATATATATATATATACTTTAATCAGACATACGATACATCCCGTGACCTATTGATATATCATCAATTCTTTTGTGCAATGCTATCTGTAACTTGTACATTCTCATTAAAATAATCTTTAGTCTGGTAAAAAAAAGTTTACATATCGGGTGATATGATTTTCTATTACAAACGCATTTGACAATAAATATTCTATTCAGAGTTTGGTTTAGGTTGTGGAATGGCTGTTAGAGGTGATGCATGTATCTAATCTCTTTTCGATGATAGAGGAATTAGTGGGGTTTTTTTTCGGAATATTCTTTAACTCTGCACATTGCACCATGTGTTTTTCTTCTTCTGAACACAATGCCTCAAATAAGAAATTAACTGTGATACAATTTTCAATATGAAATAGACGATAACGGTAGCCTATTATTACAGCTCCTGCTTCGTGATCGGGAGGTCCGTGTTCGACTCTCGACCTTTGCATAGACATAGGTAGTGATTGTTACTTCGCCAAGACATGTACCATCCATTTAATACATGGCCGTAGTGCCCCCCCCCTTTCCCCAATAATTTCGCCATGTATAGAATACTTTAGAAAACATAATTACTATATGCTTTTGCCCCCTCAAAAAAAAAGTCTGATGACCTTATTTTTTTTCTCTTTTTTTGGCTTGTCAAGGAATTTTGGTAGTTGATAGTGCCCCCCCCCCCTTTCCCAACTGAAAATGTATGGTTGTGCCCCCTAAAATGAAATTGCTTCCTAAGGGCCTGTAATACAAGTAAAAGTTTCAGGACATTCGACTGAGACCTTTAAAAAACATATAATGATAAAGAACCCTAATTGCTTAATGACCTGAGAACCGAGTATTGGTCTAAATTTAAAGCCTATTACCTTTATGAGTGAAAAATTCTAAAATTAATGGGACGAAAAACAACATATTAAGATCAATCAACATGTAACAGAGAGAAAAGAAATCACACCTTTCCATAAATTTGTGTCATAAATAGATCTTTTGTGTAAGTATTTGTGTTTCATCTGTTTACTGCTTCCAAAGATGGAGAATATTCTTATAAACATGGCTATATTGAAAATAAATGTTTATCATAACATAAGAAACAAAACTCATACCTCACATTACCTTCACTGCTAGGAGTTGTGGAATAATGGATACTTTTGCTGGCAGTAAGTGTTGAATTATGAACATTTTTGGTAGCAATTACTGTATGTGATGCTTGCTTTTCCCCTTTCTTAAGTTGGTAGCATTCTTTATCTATTTAAATGATAATAGTGCATAAACATACAAATTACTTTCACAGCATACATGTACCAGCTAGAGGGTAACATCTGATTAATCATTATCCAATGTATATTTTTCTGTCTGTAGACAAGTTCGTGCATATAAGTAATGTAAACCTTTCTTTTAATTATAATAATGTCTTCCTATACTGTACAGACATTTTGTCTACCATTACAATAAACAGATTAAAAAACAACTTAAATTTTATGGTCTAAAACTCGTAGAAGCATGGTACGAAAATAATCATAAATGTCCCTTACTCTCAGGATGATGGAATCTTAACGTTATAAAAAAAAACAACCGACAGTATTTTAAACACAACTCCTATACATTTAGTCTGAAACCAAGATCAATGGCTTCTACATGTAATTATATACACAATGACCTTTCAACAACGCTGCCTTTTTTTTTTTTTTTTTTTGTTTTTTTTTTTTTGTTTTTTTTGTTTTTTTTTTTTTTTTTGTTTGAGATGAAATATTTACTTGCATTCTAGTTCTGATTGGGTTATACATGTAACATGTGACAATATATCCAGCATTAGCTATCCTCGGTTTCAAATATTTCGGCAACATGGCAGTACTGGACTTCAACCCAAAAATCAGATCTGAAGCAATTGGTCTTTTAAGCTTTAGAAAAAGAATAATAATTGCCTTTTTTTCTTTTTGGTTTTCCTTGCATTAAAAAGCGTATTTTTTAAATATATATTAGTCAACCAAAAATGGGTTAGAAATGCATTTTCAATATTTTCAATTTTTTTTTTTTTTTTTTTTTTTTTTTTTTTTTTTTTTTTTTTTTTTGAAAAAAAAAAAAAATAAATAAATAAATAAATAAAAAATCCTGTCGTTGAGAAAAAAATGTCATACAATATTTCCATCTGCTTAATATGCATGAAAAATTAATCAAATTAAACAAATGCATAACAGTAGAATTTTAAACATGATTATTCAAAGAATCTGTTTCCTCGGCTTAAGGAAAAAAGAAAAGCATGCGCAGATCTAGAGGGAGTGTCAAAGGGTGGGGGCACTTTAATAAGGGCGGGCAGGGCCATGGAGAGTTTTGGCATAATATTTCATTACAAAAGCTTGAAAGCTTCTTGAGAAAGTTTTACACGCAGAGAGAATGTATGAATTTACGACCTTGACCTTTTGACCACCAAATATATAGGGGTCTTCTGTGGGCCATAGGGAGTTGTGGTATAAATTTTCACTGCAGAAGCTCAAAGGCTTCTCGAGATATCACGCCGAAACAAAAATGTTAAAACAGACAGAATTTATGAATTAATGACCTTGGCCTTTGACGTTTTCACTTAAAAATCAATAAAGGTCTTTCTGAGGCAATAGGGAGTTGTTATGCAAAATCTCACTGCAAAAGCTCAAAGGCTTCTTGAGATATCGCGCGGAAACAAAGGTGTTACAGACAGACAAAGAGACAGACGGAGGGACAGACAGACCTAATTAATATACCCCACTTTCAGTGAAAGCGGGTGACAAATAGGTAAGAAGACAACTCAGATTAAGCAACCATTTATACATATAAATAAGGTTATGTACTCAAAATTTTACTCTTTATTTAGAAAATTAGCATGTAATATGTACATTGGCGGTCGTCTTTAGCCACAGGACTTCAGATCGCTTTACAAAAAAATTAAGGTGTTAAAAATATCTTTATTATACACCCGATTTTTTAAAAGTCGAACTTAAGCGATCCAAAGGCCCGTGTTTTTAAATTAACGGGTTTAAGATCATGTAGATGTAAACATGTTCAACTCTGCCCGGTTCAGTTTAATTAACAAGAGGTCAATGGTTCTTAACTCTCGTCCGAGTCATTTTGGCTCTGCAGTCCCTAAACCGTGTATTAAAAGATTATACCTTATATAGTATAGACCATGATAAATAGTTGACCTATACCTCGACCCCATCATAGTCCCAACGGTTTATATAATAATCAAACGTAAAACTCAAACTTATAATCAAACATGAAGTCCACACTTCATTAGAATTTTGAATATCAGCGGCCCGTTTATCAAAACTATCTTACGACTAAGATCTGTCTTAAGACCGAAAATTATCTTAAGATTGTACCATAGCTGTTTCAGAAAACTCTCATATCTTATGATAATCTTAAGATCTATTTTAATCTTAAGACAACTAGATACCTGTTTTAAGTTTAAAGTTATCATGGTAACAGCATATCTTTTGGCTCAAAACCGAACGATTTTTAAAAGAAAACGTTTTTAGAGATAGATCAATCCTTTGGACTATATCAGGCCAGTCGAAACGATGACCCTCTCTCCCCTTTTCACCTAATAATTTTGCCAATAAATACTATACGATAGAAAACATAAAGAAAGCTCTAAACACTAATGAAAAATGCTTTTTGGGCTTTGAGAAAAAATATATCATATAAAGGTGCACATATTCAGTATATCTAGTTCATTTTCAAAATAGGGTGCCTGCCTTATTTCTGCAGAAAAAATGTTCAAAGACAATGAAGTATTTGTCAACAGAAATCACTGTTGTTTACTTACATCGGGAAAAATTAATGGAAATAAGGTATTTAATTATTTAATCTTGGTCCAACATAACATTAAGAATACTTTAATTACTTTAATTCATTAGAAATTGTGTCATTAACTGTAGATACCCATTTATACTATTTTTCTTATAAGGGCAGATCACTCTAACTCAATAAAACTACCCTACAAATAGAACTCTTTAGTGTGCAGTGTTTAGAGTTTCCTTAAATCTACTTACTTTATGGTTGTGTCCCATTATTCTTGTCAAGGATTTTTGTTTGCTTGTGCCCCTCCCAACTGAAATTGCCCCCCCCCCCCCGCTCCGAGAACTTGCTTCTTTCGGCGATGCATACATGTATATAAGATTCAGATATTATTTATAACTTCATTCAATATTATTTAATTTTAAATTCATCATATTTTCCTTATATCATCATATTTTCTATGACCAAGCATCGCTACTTACACAATTTTGAAAATTGCTAACGCAATGCGAGATAAATGAAGTTGATTAATTGATATGTTAAGTAAATACATTTGGAATATATAAAAAATATGAAATATATGCATGTTTATGGTCTGGACAAGTTTCGTCCATGAAATTAAACAAAAACGAGCTTTGGTGTGACCATCCTGCATTTTAAAGACGTTTTATACATTGATCTATTTTGTTACATTATGGTGATTTTTTTTCTAGAAACTAAACATGTCTTTCAGTCTTACAAAATTAGATGAAAATCAAGTAGTTTAAGTTCTTGATGCTCCCCGATTAATCCGCTGAAATGTTTATAGAAAAACTCAATATAATTACTGCTGTTCCATTTGATGCTACATGTTTTCTTCAGAGCATTTGAAACTGCTAAATTCTGATTGTAAATTGTTCTTTCGTTTCTCTAATTCGCGTGTTTGCACTGTTATTTCGTTGCAGTAGTTCAGCGTTTCAAACACATTTTCATATTTTTTTATGAACGAACCGGAGGAACTCTGAACTCAAGTTGCCGTTTCAACTGAATTTATTGGAAAATCATTTGTTATTTGCAAAGACATAAATGCGGCAGTGGATTTAATCAAAAGCAGTATCATTTTGTCAGCAACTATATATTATTTTCTGTGCAAAAAAGACATATAAACAAATTCTATTCAATAAATTTTTGTAATGAAATTTATTGAAATTAGCTTTTCTGACCCCCCCCCCCCCATCCCCACCCCTCCCCGTAAAGTACATTGAAGCTGATGCAATAAAATGTGGGTTTTTTTTTTTTTTTTTTGTTTCTGAGAGTATAACTGCAGTTATTTGAGGCACTTTTATTTCAATATTTTAAAGATCATGTACGAAAAACAACTAAACATCGTGAAACCATTTTTTTTTTTTAATTTCCTTTTGACATTGAAGCATGAAAATTGTCTTAAGACTTGTCTTAAGATTTATTTTGATTCAGATAGTTTTGTAAAACAGCAGTGACAAATCTTATGACTACCATAAGTCACATCTTAAGATCTATCTTAGGACAAATCTAACGATACTTTTTTGAAACCCGTCCCATAATATCACTTGTGTATACATCAGTTATGTAAAAAAAAAATTCTTAAATTATGATTAAGGCATAAAGTTTTGTTATTCCTCTAAGCGTCTTTTCTTCCACTTTTCAAACTTGGGGTAAAGCTGGGTTCAAAAGAAGATTTCACTTATGACATTGACTTCACTATCATTGATAGACATATTTTCAGCATTTACAAATTGAAATGTGTAATAATTTTCCAACCCTGACTTTCCCTTTGACATTGATTTTCAATTTTCAAGATCTTTTATAAAAAAACATAATTATTGAAAATTATTGATAATAGCAATTAAGCTGTGTCGTTCTTTTCTGACGTTTGTGTAACATATGTCCTTGACCTTATATTCCTTCCTTTGCATTATCCATTTGTTCCATAGAAACTTTTCAATATATCTGATGCATAGTTTTATCTTAGGCCAAACAAAAAAATATGTGTGATTCCAGTTACACCTCCAAAAAAAAATTAGGGTAGGTAGGTAGGGATTTTTTTTTTTTTTAACAAAATGATTTTCTTATTTTTTCTAAATAATGCTTATCACTACTTTGCAAATGACATTTAGATGTTGTGCAATAATATACTAGTCAATATTGGTAGGGGACACCTACATGCTAGCTTGCTTTGGATTTAAGACTAATAAACACTTGCACTATGTTGTGCAAGGGGGCCGTCATTGCTGAAACTAAAACTTAAACCGGAGCCATTGATGGAAATTGGGGAAAAATCCGGAAAAAATATGAAAATTGCTAAAAAAAAAGTTTAGGGTCGGGGGTATAAAATAGGGACGGTCGGGTAACCGGAACCACACATATTTTTTTTTTATTTGGCCTTATTGGGCTGCATTAAGGATTTCTTCATACAACCCAATTATTTTTTAATCTACTGCAAATGAAGTTCATACATGTACATTGTTTAATCAACATTTTAATACCTGCTTATGAAACTGTGTTGTTATCAAAAATCATTATTTACAGTTTTTCAATATTTTTGCTGCTTATCAATTATGTACTGTAACATATTCAGTTCATTTATGTATAATATTATATTGGGGGAAATGTGTATATTAATGATTGTTACGTCAAGAAGTTATATTTTTCTGCAATCCAATACATGCGTGTTTTCATAAGGTATTCAGAATACTATTCAAGTTAACTTACATTTATAAACATTAGATGAAATATATTTGAAAGGACAACTCTTGCATTTCTTTTCAGCATGTTCCTGGAGAAATTGGCCTCCAACTGTGAATTCTGTGCACTGTCCACCTTAATAGTTTAATAATTAGAATAAGGAATAGCCATTTAAAGTCAAATACACAATACATGTAAGAACGAGCTAGAAATAATGATAGACTTTCAAGTATATTGTATTTCACAATCTTTCCTGGACAAAAAAGTGAAAGTATTCAAAAGATAAAAAAAACTTAACTATTATGTCTACAACAGGTGCACAAAGTTCGACAGTGTCATCTCCTTTTGCATTTAGGACACAATGGTATCTGTACTTTTCAGCTGCAGTGCAGTTCTGCCTTAGTTGTTCACAGTTGTAAAATTTTGCTCTTTTTTCCCTTTCCGTTTTAGTGACTGGGCATTTCACATTGTATTTAGCAGTTTTTAGAGAATGTGGACAGGGTACTTTCTGAAAAGCAATTATCACAAAGTATTTGTTTAAATAAACAGCGTGTTTTTTTTTTTCAAATCTTGTAAAAATGAAATACACATATAAAAATAAAGACAATTCACGTCATCCTAATTAAATAAAAATGTTTTAAAAGGTTTGTAAAAATATTAATAATTGCATTCAAAATATTTTAATCAGACCTATAGTAGCGGAAGGGGGACAGGGATTAGTGGGACGAAAAAGTTAGAGAAAGGCTCCTTCCCCACGAATAAGGATTTTAGAAATTACACTTTTTTCCTTGTCATTTTTTTTTTTCCGAAGGTGCCACCCCTTCCACCCACACTTTGAAGATCGTTTTTAAAGGCCTGTTAAAAGCAATGATATTCAATTTCAGAGTTGTTACATGTATTTCACATCTTATTTTTAAGCTCAATTATAAACAAAAGAAGACAAAATATACCTCTATTGCTTGAACAATAGTTACGTATAGGAAGAAAAGACCAACTTTGATGATCATTATTGATATTCCATATGTAGAATCATGTAATTGATGGCTCAGGATTTCTCTTAGATTCTGAAAAGAAAAAGAAGATTTGTTTGTTTTGTGTTTTGCTTGTTTGTTTGTTTGTTTTTGTTTTGTTTGTTTGTTTGTTTGTTTTCTTTTTTTTTTTTTTTTTTTTGGGGGGGGGGGGGGGGGGAGGGAGAGGGTCTTTTTCAATTTAGTTAATCAATTCTTTTCTTTATTTGATAATTCATATGGGGCGGGTTGTGTTAATGCATCTTGTTGAATCTGTATGCTTATTTTTTTTTTTAACTTAACTTGATCTCAAAATACAGGAATATATATATATATATATATATATATATATATATATATATATATATATATATATATATATATATATATATATATATATATATATATATATATATATATATATATATATATATATACACAAACACACAGATCTGTAGCTAGTTGGTATGAAAAAAAAATTGAGATAGGCGACCAGAGAGCTAGAATGCCATCCTTAATTTGAAAAAAAAAAGTGTATATTAAATTGAGACCATCGAAAATCTGACTTGTACATATAGTTTTCTTGTGAAAGTAGGAAAATAATATGTAATTAATAGATTATTTCCAAATGTCATGCATGGCCTATCAAAAAGCTAACTGATACACAGATCAACGAAATCCCCCCCCCCCCCCCACACACACACACATACACACAAACACGGGCGTGCGCACGCACGTTTCTTAGTTGCAACACCTATGATTTGAATATCAACTGATTTTAAATGGCTAATGAAATCAATTTATGGTGAAATCAGACCTAATGTAAGAATTAGCATATGTTTATTTTTGTTTTGTTTTTTCTTTTCATTTCTTTTTTGCTCTACTACTTAACTGAAAATTACTCTCAACCTGACTGACCAAAAATTTAAAATAATTTAAAATAACTCTTAAACTATCATATATATATATATATATATATATATATATATATATATATATATATATATATATATATATATATATATATATATATATATAATCTGAACGTAACCCCAAAACAGTCATTTAATAATTAAATCCTGTGTAAGTGCGAAAAGGTCAACAAAAGTAGTATTGATAAATAATACATCTCTCATTAATTTGCGGGGAAAGTTATATATTTTAATCACTCTTTGTAATTATTTGGGTATGTTCTTCATCATATTAAAGATTTAAAACATTCTGACAAAGACTTTTGAAATATATTTACAAATTTAGGTGGTGAATTGACTAAAAAAAAATATTGAGCACATTTGCCTATATTCGTTGAAATGTAGACTTAATCTTTTATGTCAGTTGAATAAAAAAGAATTTATTCTTGAATAATATTGCTTAATACAGTTCAGTTAATAAAATCTATAAACGACGATGTTTAAAGAAGTATTTTTGTGATTTTTTATATTCATTTTATGACCAGTACCCCTAAAATGGCTGAAAATTTGTAGTTGCAGTGTAAAATTATCATTCAAAGTTGCACAGGCTGCACTACATTTAATAGCAAGGAAACATACCATATATTTTTAACCGTTCGATAAACGAGTGCTAATTTATAATTTTGAAAATCTTGTGACAAAGACTTTTCCGACATAATATAAAAAATTATATATATATATATATATATATATATATATATATATATATATATATATATATATATATATATATATATATATATATATATATATGCATGTACGAGAAGGGGGCTAGAGAGTGAGATTAAGTATTTAAGGACCTTTACACTGCAGCACTTATAATCATGCACACTTTATATCAATATTTAATCATCATTCAATGCTTTTCAAAGATAAATGCATACCTTATACTTATACCTTATCTCTTGAGAACCTTATAACTATTACTGTTCATTTATATGTACACTTACATTATAGTGCGCCCTCGATCTTCGGTATTCAAACCAAAAATGCTGTACAGAAGATTGTTTTCGAATTATGCGCGTCAAGTAGTCATGTAAACAAGTTTTAAATATTAGCCAATCAGAGAATTGTTCTTTTATCATTTGACAACGGATCGGCACACTTCGGCCAATGCTCTCTAAGCTTCGACTTTTTTTTTTTTTAAGGTAAAATATCTTTCTATGACACATTCACAATGTATTAAATTAAAAAAAATCCTAAATATAAGCTAAAATTATCTTTTTTATATAAATTCACACTCTCTGATACTAAAAGAGAACAAGGATGACAACTTCAACAGGCGACATTCGACACGTCGATGGGAAATCCTCAAAGATATAAGCTACTCACCGACTGGAAGTAAAGGTTTCTATATCTTCTGAGATCTTATAATTAATTGATACATTTCTGATTTCTGTCCAATTGTCATTCAAGACCTGGGACTCATTTGCAACTCGTTATTTCAGTGGATGTAAGGCGTGATTTTTACTATTTTTAGAGGAGGAAAACCCCTTTTTTTAGCCATTCAAAAATTGTAAACCGTATTAACGTATTTAAGACTGAAAGGAAGCTGCTCTAAAAAAAGAAAGAAAAAACGTAAAATGGGATTATACTGCATAAATATTTGTTTGTTTTTTTTTTAAATGCTTTAAAGAAATTGAAAGTCGGAAGTAAGGAGGGAGGAAGGGATCGAGGTGGTGATAAGTGACAAAGTGTGCCGCGGTACATGTACGTATCATACACAGATAAAAAATAAATCTATTGCAAACAAACTTAATAACAACACGGAGATTGTTTCAAAGTAGCTCTGATATTTCTTTTTGTCAGTATTTTTGAATTTTATTTTACCTAGATATTACGTGTACAGTTATTATTGCTGTCAGTCAAGTAAAATTAAATAAGTCCTAATATATCATTTTTGTATGATTGTATCTTTGGAGGATTTAATCCTATCATACCTGAAAAAGCAGCTTCATTTTTAATTTACCCCTACAACATATATCCCCGATGTTTACCTTAAAGGCATTTGTGTTTTCGTAAGCCGACATACTTGTGCGGAAACGATAAAAAATATTTAAATGATTTGTATAAAGTTTGCAATTTCTGAAAACCCCGTTGCGTAAGAAGCAGTTGTTGGGTTTTCCCCTTCTAGAAATAGTGAATATGACTTCCGTTTCTTGACGAGTGGGTGTTAAACATGAAAATTCCTAGGCCTGAAATCACAATTGGACACAAATTAGCGATGTATCAATGGATTAATAATTTCTGAATATATGGAAACATTTACATCCAGTCCGTAAGTAGCTTTCATCTTCATTTTTTGAGGATTTCCCTTCGAGGTGTAGGAAGTCGTCCGTCGGTTTCCAACCTTGTTTTCTTTTCGTATCAGAGAGTGTGGATTTTTATAAAAGTTTAGTTTTAGGTTACGTTTTGGATTGTTCAATTGTAATACTTTTTGAATGTAATATAGAATTTTTTTTTTATAAAAAAGCCTAAGAACTCTGGTACCGCACACAAAGGGAGGGGGGGGGGGGGGTCCGCAAGCACCTGTTCATATGTACGTGTTATTGACTGGTTAGGATAGAGAGATATCGAATGGGTGTTACATGTAGTTAGACGCGGGTCAAGTGAAGAAGAAAATTTAAAAAAAAAAAAAAATAAAATAAAATAAAATAAAGCATAAAAAAGAAATTATTTTGAAAAATAGTGTATAAAAAAATGTCCTAAATACATGTACATGTACCATGTATTACGATTACCAATCCTCAAGACAAAACTTGAATATACACTAACCTATATGGATATATTACATTTAAATATTAATTCCATGTATCCTTCTGACAGGGATGTGCAGCCGCCTTGTTTGCTTGTCCTACTGAAGGTCGAACAATTACGATTGCTTGGAATAATATTCGAGCTCCAAGCGAAAAAAAAATCGATGTTTTCTCTATAGAAATGAAATATACATGTACATCGGGTTACTATCCTGTGACAAAAATTAAGTATGGGCAGATCTGTGCGGAGTCACATTTTAAAGTAATTGTTTACTTCCCCCAAACCCAGGTTTCCCTTAAAATTCTACATTATTCAGTCATAACTTTTGTGAGAAATTCTGACGTGGAAAAGAAGATAGAAAAAAAATTGTCTAATAAAACTGAAATGAATAAATAAATGAAC